TTGCTCATGTTCTTGGACATTTTGGAAAGGTCTTTGAGTCCTATAACCAATGCCTTTGGTCCCATGTCATTTTGATTTACCAATCTCAAGTTATGGCCTTTGACTTAAAGTCCCTTTTTGTTGACTTTTGAAAATGACCTATAATGTTGAAATTGATAACTTTTTGTGAGAGCATTTCTTGGACTTGGAGTATGAATATGAGTTGTAGGAAATGTCTTTCTCTTCAAAATGAGCTTTGGATGGAATTTTTCTGATAATCCATGTGAAAGTTATGCCCTGGTCAATTTACAGTTGACTTTTTCAACTGTCCAAATAAGGAAACTTTTGCATTTTGATGATTTTTGAGCCAAGCTTTGAGAATCATGATCAAGCATTGATCAAATTATGTTTGTGGCTTCAAAATGAGATGTTGACCAAAAATTTGAACTTTTGACTGTCAAATGACCATTTTGCCCCTACAGTTGACTGTAGTGCAATTAGGGTTTTGACTGTGCAATTTTGTGCTGAAAGTCTTGAAACTTGATATGAGGATGCTTGACCATATTTGTAGGCATGTGAGACTTGATTGGGCCCTTTGAAACTTCATTTTCTTGATCAGAACCAAAACCCTAATTTTGACTGCTTAGGAGGCCCTTGGACTGTGCAACCCTTGGGGAATTTTGGAGCTTGGCTTGGCAATTTCTTGAAGAATATGGGAGGGCAAATTTTGGGGTACAACAGTAAGCATGGCCATTACATGAGAATGTATGGCATGGGCTTTGTCTGGCCAAAAAGGGTAAAGGAATGAGATGAAGGGGGTGTGATTGAGGTGTGCACCAAAATCCTACAGCAAATTCTCACTTGTTTGCTCAAAATCATCAAATGACCAAATTCTGGCTGCAAACAAAATGCTTCCAATCCGCCATGTCCATTTCTCTATTTCTCTTTCAATTCTCAACCATTTGGAACAAATTTAGACTCTTTAGAAGGATTGGATGATGGAGAACAAAGTTGGTGTTGAATGGATTTTGAAATGATGCTTGGAAGTCTATAAAAAATGAGCGCGAAATTGGGCAATTTGAGCTGATTAAATAACTTAGTGAATTTTCACTAAGTGTTGAAATTTTGACAAATGAAATGTTTCACTTTGATCAATCATAACTTGCACAATATTGATCCAATGGTGGTGAATTTTATATGCTTGGAAAGATCTGAGAAAGATAAACAATGTTTATGTTGGAGAAAAATTAAGTTGGAGCTTAAATCATCATGAAAAATAGCCATGAAGTTGACTGAAATTTCTTTAGAACTTGCCAAAAATAATAACTTCTTAAAAAACCCTAATTTCCCAATTAGGCAACTTTGACACATTCTCGACTCTTGATCATTCTCTTGATTCCACTTGGAAAAATTCCACTCATAGACCACATATGACTTGTAGAACATGATATTGACCTCAAAAAGTAAAGAGTTGACTTTTAAATTACATAGTTGACATTTTCCCCAATTCAATTAATTAGCAATCATCTGAACAATTGAACTTCTCCTGATCAAAATTGAGGGTCAATCCTCCATACATAAACACTTAGGAACGTGTAGAAGACCATGGAACTAATTTTTGCTCAAGAATTCAGAGATAAACTGACTTTGACCAAAACCCTAGTTTTCCATCAAAATGGTAAGAGATGAGTGCACAACCCCAAAACCCTAATTCCTCTAGGAAACTTGTGGAACCTCTTGAGCAAGATAGTCTTGGATGATGATAAGATGATAATGCTTCAAATATCTTGTCCACAAATGTGTCACACACTCAAGTAATCACAAAAATCACCACAAGGACCAAAAGGATATGAGAAGTTGATTCTTTCTAATACTCTGGTGAATTTCAATCATCTGGTGAAATGGTGAGCTAAATGAGATATCTTGAGGCACGAGGAACCCTTATAGCTTGAGTGACCAAAATAATGAGAATGTTGGATCCTCCTTGCACTTGTTGACAAAACAACCATATTTTGTTGCTTGAAGAGAACCATGATGGCAAGGACACCTTGATCCCATAACCATGAAATAATGCAATGCAAATGGTATGTATGATGATGAAGCATAAGCTTAAGATGTGAAACACAAGAGGGCAAATTTTGGGTGGAACAATTATCAATTTTTATTTTTGAATAACCATGATATATGCTATCATTTCTTATCACCTTTTTCACATTAATTACTTTCCCATTTTAAATGTTTAATGGAATCTACCTAAAACAATTTTCATGAGATTGATATTTTTTTATCACTTTTACTAATTACTTGATTGTGCATACTTGCACAAATTTTCATCATTATCAAATTTCACCTTAATGTTTTGCAAATTATCCCATTATGTGATTGACAGACGATCCAGCATCTGCCTAGCGGCTGCTGCTAGACGCCTAACACATGAGGCATAACTGTCTAAACAAATCAAACTTCATCTCTGTACAAATACAAGAGATTTTCAAGATAATCACACTACCATAATTCCTCTAAAAATACTCTCTCCAGCCTTATCTATAAGTAGGGTAATGTTAACTTGTGTCCCAAGAGCACAAGTTAAGAGATAAATATAGTAAAAAAAAATTGGAAATTGTGTATTGAATTTAATACAAATTTATAATTAATGATTTTATTGTTTTTCTCAATATAAATTTTTTATTAATGGAATTGTTAAAATGTGTCCTTAGAGCACAAATTAGCATTACCTTTATAAGTAAAAGTTTTTAATTTTTTTTTACCTTAAATGTAAACAAACATCAACAAATTTAAGTATATTTAATGATTTTATTCTAAAATTATTCCTATATTAATTACTTAATATTATTAGTGGATGTCAATTTAATTGAGAGTATATTAATAACTATGTTATGTCTTATCCGAAACCAAAGAAATTAGATACATTTAATTATTTTTCTTAATAAATGTGAAATTTAATTTTTTATTTATAAATCAGACCGAAATAATATACGTGTGGAATTTAGAAAATGTGAAGGAAAAGTTGCCGCACAAAAAATGGGATTAAAACTCGTGTGGCAGAATTTACAGGTTAAATGAAGAAAATGGTCAAGTCTCAATTGGAAACAAACCAAGTACATTGGACCTATGTGGTTATGATGATTTTATAACTTAGCGCATGAAATAATGGACCATTCCATTTTCTTCTTTCATAAAATGTCAGTATAACGAAGGAAATTGAGGGACATGACATCCCTCCAATCTCTTTCGTATGGGTGAATTACTATACGTGCCAACTTGGAGCTTCCTAATCATAATCCTATGTAATATGTCTCAAATGGTTGTCCTTTTCTAAAAAGGAATCGCACGTTTAAATTCTTGATAATATATCTTAACTATATGTAAAATTATACGAGGAAACACACAAGAGTAGTCAAAATCTAGGAAAATGACAAGACCCTGCAACTGTGTTTGTGTATTTGTTGTGAGTTTGTGACAATAAACTACTCATCAATCAAACATTGATTTGGATCAAACATAAGAGGGTTATAAACACATTAAGCCCCACTTACCATTTTTTAAGGTGTAGAATTAAATAAATTTTATACCATCAATATGAGATTGTAAATTAAAAATGATGGTATAGCATATAGTATATGCTGGGAATGATAGATGGAACCAAGTATGAAACTAATAAAAGCTGACCCAATGCACTATGGAGTTATGTAAAGCACTTTTGAAGTGGGGAAATGAGAGAAAGAAAAAGTGAGACTAAAGAGAATCTTAGGTGGGGGAATAATGACTAAGAAAAACTGTTATCTTATGTTTGCTTTTTTCTCATACTATGTTTAATCAACCTAGTTGATGATTTGAACTTTTTGTACATGTAACAGAAGCAGATGTTTGCTTTCATTAAAAAGTCTTAAATTCTTCCTAAAAATACTAAATTAAAAGGTAGTACCATGTCTCATACATTTAAAGTATAGCATATTTCATCATATCATTATTTCCTATTACTTACATTATTATTTTGGATAGTCAAATTTTACTGATAAATATATCGTGTAATATATCAGTTCTCTTTAAAATGTTTTATTGATAAATATATCGCGTGACAGACCAGATCATTCTCTTTAAAACGTTTTATAGTTCTTTTTAAAATGTCCACAAGTGTACAACCCCGTTGTCCTTTTTTTGTGTGCCTGACTTCTTTGTCCCCACACTTTACTCACATCATCTTACCTTTGCTTTCCCATAAATAAACATCAATGCCCACCATCTAACTGTCTCTCCTTCTCCCTTTTTCATCATTTACCCTTCCTTTTTTTTTATATCAAGTTCAGTACATTTTTTATTAATATTCTAATAATTAGAACATTAAGTACTATTAGCTTTCATTTCACCCTCTATTAGTGCTTTAGGAACATAAATAATAAGACACACATGCTTATTTTGTCTTCTCATAAACAACCTTTCCAAAGAGAAGAAACAATGGAAATACATGTCTCCAATTTCAAAAGCAGTTTGTAGTTGATCTCAAAAACAAGCCATCATCTGAACTTGAAACTTAAGAGAGGGTATGTTTTAAACTTCTGATCACTGTCTTTTTTATTCTTAGTTTCTAAACAAGTTAGGACTTTTCTTCATTAGATTTTCATCATCTCATTCATGCACTAGTTTATGTATCTGCATGCAGTATTTGTTTTTCTGTTTTAGCTCTCTGGTTCTTAGGAAAAGGCCCTCGTAGTCTGACCGATGATTGTTTTAGCCAGGATTTGAACTCTGGTACTCCCAATCGTTTAGATCTTTACTAATCCTCATTAACCACTTGATTAATTTCGTCTTATTTGTGTTTTTCTTTCTGTCCTTAATTTTGTTCTGTCATTATTGTTTGGTAACTAACTCTATATACCCTAAATCTCATAAGTCATTTTGCTACTATTTAGGAACAAACCTCTCTTTCGCCGGAAGCTCGTAGCCAGATCGTATTCTGATGGTATAAATTGCTGGACATATTTAGCGAATTTGCTTTAATCATGAAACCAATAATTGATCTTGAAGTAGAGGCCAGCGCCGAATATGAATCTGAAGTAAGTAGCCATGTTGCTTCCAATATATCCATCCATGAATTTGAAACCTCACTAGGTTCCTATAGTAACAGCCTCACCAAAAATTCCAACATTACAAATCCAAGAGAGTTTCATGCCTATTCAAATCCTATCTCACTCGAGCTAACACTCAATTTAAACAACAATGACATGGTTCCTAGAGATTCAACAGGGTTCTCATTCTCGAGCACCAGCGAGAGCAGCAACGAACCTACCATCATCCCAAGAATTTTCTCTTGCAATTACTGTCACCGCAAATTTCACAGCTCTCAGGCGCTCGGTGGACACCAGAACGCACACAAGAGAGAAAGAATTGTAGCAAAGCGAGCTATGCGAATGGGACTATTCTCTGAGAGGTATGCAAGTTTAGCATCTCTCCCTCTCAATGGTTCTTTCAGGTCCTTAGGCGTAAAATCACACTCTTCACTGCACCATGGTTTTTCGCCTCCAACAATAAGGCCATTTCCCGAAATAAAAAGTAACCCAAGATTCAGACAAGGATGTATCGGTCATCCCATATTCTTAGAGGATGATGAGACAGAAATTTTGTGGCAAGGTAGTTTCCATCAGGTTGCTGAGGGAGGTAGTAATACTCATCAGAGCTCAAATCTGTGCTTTTCCGAGGTGAATGTGAAACCACTGGTTGATAATATAGAGAATTCAGCACCTGAATTAACATTGAAACTTTGAAAGGGTTAATGCTATTACAAATCCTTGCTTTGGTATTTTACTCTATGTTTCTTCTTGTATAAGAACTCTTGAAGACAAATTTGGAGCATCTATGTATGTCTACTATATGTATAAAAATTATGTTTTTTTTCTTCTTTTCTTTCGTTACTTTATATAGGCAAAATTTGCAGAGAAATGTCTTTTTATTGATATGAGTATTATATATATACATTGAATGTATCTCTAATTATCTAAAATAAATTATTTACTATAAACTTTAATAATATTCTTTCTATATTTATATAGTCGAATACACCCTCGTAATCGAAACTGAAGGTGGATGAATGTTGAGACTATTTATATAGTTGTCAAAAAGTTGTGGCGGAAGACCCTTCGTGAGGATATCAACAATTTGATAACGAGAGAGAACATGTAATACAACCCTGAGTGCGAACAACTTTTTTCCGCACAAAGTTTATATCAATTTCGATGTGTTTGAAGCGTTGATGTTGAACTCCAATGTTGGAAAGGTGATAAGTGCAAATTGTAGTTATTTTTGTATACTTTTTGTTGCACTTATCAATGCTTTTGTGAATAATTTCCCTCTTTGTTGGTAAATTAGTTTAGTTTGTATATATTTGTGTTTTCGTGTACATAGTGTATCGTTTGATAATTTTGTATCTATTTTGTAGGAATTTAGGCATCATTGGAGCATTGAGAATAAAGTTCAATTGGAGCTCCAAGATGTGCAATTGATCAATAAAGAAATAAGGCAACAAGAGGAAGTCATTTGAGTTGTGCAGAGAAAGCAACAAAAGTTGATGTTTTGGTGTGCAGCGTCAGGCGATGCTCAGGCGAGGAGCATCGCCTTTGTGTCGTCGGGCGATGGAGGGGCGAAAGGTTGGGTCAATTTTCCAGCTGCTTCTGTCTTGCTTCGCTTCTGTGCACTACGCCAAACAAGACTTTAGACAACGTTTTTTTTAGCTTTAGACAACGCTTTAAAGCGCTGTCTATTCCAGCGCTACTGTTGGTAAAGACAACGCTTTGTTAAAAGTAAAAGCGCTGCTAAATCCCCCATTTAGTCAGCACTTTTACTTTTAAAGCGCTGCTAAAGACCCCCTTTAACCAGTGTTTTTACTTTTAAAGCGCTGCTAAAGGCTCCATTTAGCCAGCGCTTTTACTTTTAAAGCGCTGCTAAAGACCCCCTTTAGCCAACGCTTTTTTGAAACATAAAAAAAAATTAAATAAAAAGCCCCTTTAGGTAGTACTTTTAATGTTAAAACGTTGTCTAAAGCTCCCTTTAGGCAGCACTTTTTTTAAAGCGCTGCTAAAGGCCCCCTTTAGCCAGCGCTTTTTCTGAAACAATAAAAAATTAAAAAAAAAAAAGAGCCCCTTTAGGCAGCACTTTTACAGTAAATGTGTTGTCTAAAGGGAGCTTTAGACAGCGTTTTTTAAAGTGTTGTCTAATGTCCACGAAATTTTTTATATAATCTTTTTGATAAAAAAAACGTTGTTTGATATATACAAATTTTATATGCACAAATTTTAACCATATTTGCACCAGGTTTTCACCATATTTTGCACATGTATATACCATTACAAATTTCACCAAATTTTCACTAATATTGGAGCTTCAATCCAATAAAAAATAATACCAAAAGATACTATACATTTGCACCAATGTACTTATATATACTATTACTCTTGTACATATATACTTTTACAAAAAAAACAACACCAAAACAACACCATTATATACCATTACAAAATCTATTCATCTTTATCTTCTACATATGCACATATAACCTGAAACAACACAAAAATATCTTAATTCATACCATGATACAAACAAAATATATATAATTAGGGGTGTTCGCGGTTCGGTTTGGATCGGTTTTAAAGCAAAAACTCATCCGATCCAAAGATTAATTCACTTATGTTCGGTTCGGTTTTGGATGATATATTTAAAAAAATCCAATCTGATCCGATCCAATTTTATGCGGTTTAATTTGGATCGGTTTTTGGATATCCAAATTACACATTATATTTTTATTAATATTATAAAAATACTAATAAATCATAGATTTGATATAATATATAACATATAGTATATTAAAAGTTAATATTACAAAATGAGAGTGATTGATTATGCTTGAAATAATAAAAATAAATAGATTATACCAAACTAATAAATATTATTAAAAAAATTATTATCATCTAATAATAAATTCACATAACATGTCATATTAATAAAAAGTAAATAAGTATCAAAATATATTTATGCGGTTCGGTTTGGTTTGGATCGGTTTTGAAAAATTCATCCGAAATCCAATCCGAACCGATCGGTTTTCATAAAATAACATCCAAACACAACCAATAACTTTCGGTTTTTTATGGTTTTCGGTTTTTTGGATCGGTTTTCGGTTTTTTATTTGGATTGATTTGGATTTGAACACTCCTATATATAATTTACCACATGACAAACAACAACAAAATTGCAACACTTGAAAATACTCAAAATTCTCATCAATTAAAGTAAGATTATAATATACCTTATATAACTTTCATCTCAATAATGTATTGACACCAATCCTCCTTAAGTTCATCCAACTGAGAACTTGAGTAATAAGCACACTTGAATTCATCAAAGTACTACATAATAATATAACATAGTATGTTTAAGTTAAAACTATTTAATTATATGAGAAATATGTGCTAAATATTAAAATAACTCATAATTTAGAAATCCATACCTTAGATGGAATCTCTATTCGATCCAAAAGAAATATTTCTCTCATAAACCTCAACATGTAAAAACCGCAATCTACTTCATTACACTGCCGAGGACACTACACATGAAAAGAAAATATGAATAAGACCTAAGTTTTATCAAGTATCATCACTATTAATATAATCAAAATTGTGATAATTAATTAATATACCTCCAATATAATCCATGTAACATTGTTGGCTTTACTCTTTGATACTTGAGTACCTCTTTGTGCTGGAAAAACTTATATAATGCTAATAAAACATAAACGAATATTTAGAACAATTCACATAAATAAATAAATAAATATACACACGAATATTTAGAACAATCTCACTTACATATCAACCATATTCTTCATATCTTGGTATATACTTGGATCATTGCATAAAAAATCCAGATAATATACAACTTCTCTGATAGGATTAATCGCGACCAACAACCAATGTCCACAGTAAGATTAAACAAATGTGAGATAAAAACTTTCTACACAACGTCAAAATATGAAAATTATAATAGATGAATTTAGAACGAAAATCTAACATGTTGTCGATATTAAGCGGTAAAAAGAACAACTTTTCGGTATCTTTGTCGGCCATAAAGCGCTCGAGTAGATACACCATGACTTCATCTGGTTTATGCATGATGAACCCTAAGTTGGTATTGTAAGGAGATAAGAAAGTGAATCTTTGCTCCAATCCACTCGGAACGCATCAATTTTTCATACAAAAACCTTAAATAAAAGATCTCATTAACATTTGAAATGAGTAAAGAATTGATCAATTAATTAGACAAAGTAGATCAGATATACCTTATGTGTGTATTAAAAACACCGAGGCCTAATTGCGTATTTTGTAAAACTTGATCAAAATCCTCCATACCAATTGTTTCGGAATATTCAAAACCAAAAATATCAAACTCCATAGGTATAAGACGAGTATTTCCTTCCGTAATATCATATATTTCTAAAAATGTCCCAAGGCACGACCTAAACTTGGAAGTAGGTTTTTTTTTAGCCGCGGTCTTCTTAGCAACAACCTTTTTTGTGTGGAAATGTTGCTACTTTCAGGATTCTTACCCTTACTGACATCTTCATTCTCTTTAGCATGAATCTAAAGATCATATAATTAGTTATGTCAAGTATAAAATCACGAATTAATATTTTTCATGCATAAATATCATATAATTATGATGTACCTCTTTTATTGATGCAACTGACTCGGTTTGCCGCGGAATCCCCTTGTCTTTTGCTTTGGATTTTGTTGGAGTCTAATTAACATAACCATGTAAAAAAAAAGTACATAAAATGCGCGTAAAAACTTTGAATACTCAAAGGTTCATATATATATGGTTTTAAGAATACCTCATCATCTAGACTAATGAGGCTTGACGGTCATGCAACAAACGAACCTATTGCATCTCCCACCAGTGTGGCATCCAAAACATCGTCAAGATGTGGTAATAACGCATCCTTCTCCAAAGCAATGTCAACTGATACTTTCAAACAGCCAGTAGGGAGCAGTTTAGTGTGAAGTAATTATCCCAAAGTGTTATGTACTTTTCCCTTTCCAACCATCTGATAAGTCGGTGACGATAAGTAGAGTTGACAAGGTGAAACACCCTAAAACCAATAATAAATTTCAAATTGTTATTGTGTATCTATTTCAATTAAATAAATTAAGCTACTTTTATTTCATAATGATATATATATATATATATATATATATATATATATATATATATATATATATATATATATATATATATATATATATATATATATATATATATATATATATATATATATATATATATATATATATATATATATAGAAGATTCGGTTGAAAATTACAACTGATACTATCTTTGTCACTAGTAGCTTTAAAACCTGAAGCTTGCTCTCTTAATTCTTTTTCCCTTCTCAATTCACGGACTTCAGCTTGTAGTGCTTCCAAGGTTTCCTGCAGTTCTTTATTACTAGGAGTCTTTTATGTTTTCATCTTCAAGGATTTTGGAGTGATTCCAAATCCCTTACCCCTCACCCGACCAGAATACTCACGAACATCTAATGTTCGACTAAGTATTCTCCTGCAATCATTGCCTTCATCTGGATATATAGACTGAGATAGAGTCTCCTGAAATTCATATGAATATTTAAAATTTGTCTTAATTATATGTTACTAAAATTTTGATTTAATTAAAGAAATAATTCTATACTTACACATTTCTCAAAAACTTTTTGAACATCTT